AAGCCGATGACATGACGTAACGATGATATGACGTAACGATGACATGACGTAGCGATGACATGACGTAGCGATGACATGACGTAGCGATGACATGACGTCAAGATGACGTAGTGAGGACATCGGAAAATTATATTAATTATAATCAGTGGCGTAGACAAGGGGGGGTTTGGGGGTCAACCCCCCCCCCCATGAAAAAATTTTTTTTTTTTTTAAAAATGTTTTTTTTTTTTAAATTTTTTATTATTATTTTTTTATTGCGAATAATTATATTTAAAAAACGGTTTCAATTTAGAGATATAAAATAATATATTATATATAATACAATATGAATATGAATATCACAATGAAATATATTTATAAAAAAAGGAGTTTTAATTTTAAATGATCACATCGTTTAAAAATATATATAAATTATATGAACTAAAATATTAAATAACAATAAAAGAATAAAGATATATTGCATGTAAATAATTTCTGGCATAGTTAAATTTATTAAATAACAATAAAGATATTTTGTAAATATTTTCTGGCTTGGCATAGTTAAATTAGATATTTATAAATTTAATTATTAAATATATATTTTTAAACTATATAGATAGTTTATAAATTTTAATTTTTTATAATTTTTAAATATGGATATCCATAAGTTTTTTCGTCAACAACAAAAAGAAAAAGGTATATAAAAATTAAAGTTGTGTAATTTGAATTAGAAATATATATAGATATAGATGTTGCTCTTGCTAGTAAAAATCAGCCATCAGTTGAGTTGGTTTTCGTTGTATCCTCAGATGACGAAGGTAATGGTATTATTTATAATATCTTTTATTTAAATCTTGCAATACCAGACATACCATTACCACTCCATGGGAAAACCAATGATGAGTTAGCTACAAAATCATCAAATGATGGTATATATTCTAAATTATTTATAATTTCTAATATTTTTTAATTAAAAATAGAAACATTATGTGTTACAAAAGCATGTGAGCTATCAGTTGATTTGGCTGGAAAATCATCAAATGATGGTATAGTATTTATTTTAATTCCATTTTTTTTATTTGTAAATTATACTATTTTCATTTAGAGTTATTAAAATTTTGCAATGTACGATATTTAGTTATAATTTTAAAGTTAGTCATTTTTTTGTGTTATTTTGCAAACGGTAGTACATTATAAGTCAAACAGAGTTGAGCAGTATTGAAAACTTGTATCTACAATACAAACAGAGTTGGGCAGGCCCTCCAGAAAAATAATCTAGATACAGATTTGTTGTGAAAAAATGAATTTTAGATACAGATGATTTATCATTACCAATTAAACTAGAATAGTTTATAAAATACAGTTTTTATTATTTATTTGTGAAGAACATAATTATTTTCTTAAAATCTTTTGTATATACAATCTTGGGCAGCTTATAATATTTAGGAACTTATTTTCATAATTTAAATATTACTACCTTCTTCACTTCCATGAGTGTAAATCATCCTATAAATATAAAAATATTAATTAAAATTGGTAATGATATTCTATAGTAATTTCCTTCTACTTGTATCTGTCTTTAAATTTTTATTAAGAAACTTTGATATCTATCTGAGATACATTTTTTAAATTCCAGATTTTTTTCTTGTGCTGCTCAGCTCTTAACATTGAAATTCATATTGAAATATATCATTTAAAATCTAAAAAAAAAATATAGAAACACCACACTGTTCTCAAAAAGTTGTTTCACTTTACTTAAATTTTCATTTTAAAAATGATAATGAAAAATTGTTAGCTGTTGAAAATATTTAAATACCTGACAAATGTTATAAATTTCCATTGCCCTTGGGCAAAAGAAATTTAACCTTTCAAGCATCCTGGCTTAACAAATATAAGTGGCTTGCTTACTCAGCCGATGAAAAGGGCGCATTTTGTAAAGTTTGCGTCATATTTTCCCCAAGATATGCTGGAAATGGGTTACAAAAACTCAAAACATTGGTAAGTCAGGTGTACACAAGATGGAAAGATGCGTTCGAAAATTTTAATTATCATCAAAAAAATAAATAATTCCTGTGAGATAATGGATTCTTTAAAAGAAATCTCAATGAATCAAAAGATATCAATATCCAATGTATTGAATAAAAAAAATTTTGATATTGTTACAAAAAATCGATCAAGAATAATTATAATTATTGATGCTATCATTTGGTTAGGGAGGCAGGGCTTGGCGTTAAGAGCTCATAGGATATCTCCTGGCCCCCTAACACTTACATCCCCTTCTCACAATGAAGGAAATTTCAAGGAATTATTGAAATTTTTATGTAATAATAATGACAACTACCTAAAGCTTTTTGAAAGCTCCTCTAAAAATGCTACTTACCTAAGTCCCACTATTCAAAATGAAATAATATCAATATGCATTCAGTTTATATTAAAGGAAGTTTCTTCAAAAGTCAAAGCATCACCATTTTTTAGTGTTTTGGTAGATGAAACTTCCGATATTGGTAATATTGAACAACTATCCATAGCAATAAGGTTTATTGATATGGAATCAGGTAATTATAAAATGAAGGAACTATTTGTTCCATTTATTGAATTACCTGACACTAAGTCAGAAACGATTGCTAATTAAATTATTAAATCACTTCAAAACCTGGATTTAAATTTAAATCTACTGAGAGGCCAAGGGTACGATGGAGCTCCCTCGATGAGTGGCCATGTTAAAGGGGTCCAGTCAAGAATTAGAGAGCTTTATAGCACAGCTCTTTATGTTCACTGCAGTTCACATTGCCTGAATTTGATGATCTGAGGCATGTGAAATTAGAGACATCGAGAACAGTTTACGTAAAAAGATTTTGATTTAATTGAAATTTATTAGATTTTATTATGTATTATAGATATCTTTATATAATTTTTATATATTTTTCAAAATTTAGAAACAATATCGTCGGTTTGTGACTTCTTTACCCCACCCAAGAAGAGGGAGATTTTTACCCAAACGTTCGATGAAATTGATTCAAAAAATTAAAAAAAAAAATTAAAAAGATTTTGTCCCACAAGATTCATTGAAAGACAACAATCGGTGAAGGTTTTCATCGAGTTATATGAGGTTATTTTTGCGGCACTGGAATCATACATATTACACAAAGATAAAGATTCCGCAGATGCGGAAAATCTTTTACAGGCTATTACGAAGCCTCAATTTTTAATTTCAATTCAATGTGTTTATTTTTTATTTAATTATACATATGATTTTAGCAAAATGTTACAAAAAATTGATTTGGATTTAAGTGAGGTTATGAATAGGGCAAAGGATATTGTTGAAATATTAACAAATATCAGAGATAATGTGGATGAAAAATTTCAGGAAATATATGAGAAAGTAAAGGAGATCGCTAATATGTTTGGGATTGAAATTTTTAAACCTAGAGTAGTTTCTAGACAATCCAATCGCTCAAATATTGATGCATCTACGATTGAGGATTTTTATAAAATTAACATTTTTATTCCACTTATTGATACATTTTTATTTCAATTAAAGGAAAGATTTATAAGTCACAATTTTATTTTAAAAAGCTTTTATTTTCTTTTGCCGGTTGAGTCTGAATTGTTGATTACACTTGAAACGCGAGAGGATATTAAGAACATCTCAGAGTTTTATTCTGATGATTTATTAGGGTCGTACTTTGTGATGTCGAATTTTGGTATAAAAATGTACTCTTTGAGACCAAAAAATGCTTTTCAGGCCCTTTCCATGTGTAATTGCACTTTAGATTCCCTGCCCAATATCAAAACATTGTTTTTTATTTTAGCTACTTTACCGATTAGTACCTGCACTAATGAAAGGTCTTTTTCAACTTTGAAAAGGTTAAAAACCTATTTAAGAAATAGCACTGGTGAAAACCGTTTAAATGGATTAGCCCTATTAAATATTTATAAGGAGATTATTCTAGATAAAAATTTGATTCTAGATGAATTAGCCAAATCTCAGAGAAAAGTAGACCTCTCTTTATAAATTCAAATCATATAATTGTAATATTTTCTTAGTCATAAAATTTTTATATGTAAAACTTAATTATAATGAATTTTTAGTCATGATATTTTTATACTATATTTAATAATAGTATTGCACCTACAATAAGAATTATTTATATAATATACTCATTTGTATTAAATATAACTGTTAAATTATATTTTTTTAAATTGCATACAAGAATTACTTATATTTTATTGTAATTTTATTTTTTTAAAATATAGATATTTACAATCAATTTTTAAAATAGTAATCTGTATAAAATTTCTAATTTTGAAATTTATTTTTTGTATATAAAATAAACACATAGTTAAATAAAGGGTTTATACTAAATAAAATTGTTAAATTGTATTTTTTTAGCAAGAATTACATATTTTATTGCAATTTTATTTTTTTAAAATATAGTTATTTACATTCAATTCAATTTTTAATATAATAATCTATATAAAATTTATATATTTTGAAATTTATCTTTTTATATATTATTAAAATAAATACATAGTTAAATAAATAAAGTTAATAATAAATAAAATCTCTGCAAAATATTGTTATATGCAAAAATTTAATTAAAATAATTATTTTTAACATAGAATAAGATATATTGAGTTGATCATAAAATTGGAAGGTTTGGGGGGAGGCAAATTTTTTTTACATCGAATAGATTGAATTAATATACAATTTACTAAACATTGATAACATTTTCAAAATAATGCTTTCAGTCGCTTATTAATTATAAATTTGGCAAAAATTTTAATTCTAATATTTTTTAATATTTATTTATGCTGGCCTGGGTATAATACACAAAATATTGGCAAATTTTGATAAGGGGGTTTGGGGGCGAAGCCAATTTATTAGCATTGATTAACAAATCGATAATATACTTCTTAAATCATTTAAAATTGTATAATATCATGAAAATACAAGATTCAAATGATCATATTAATATGATTTGATTGACAACGAACGGCTGGCCACATATTGTTAATCTATCCTATTTTTTTTTTAACGTTTGTGGCAATGTTGTAACATTTTAATATGCAGGATACATCTACAATCAAAGAAGATCCTGCATGTGCCTTAAATACATTAACTAATAATTCGGTAAAAGATTCTAGATTACTTAAAGGCTCAAAACACGTAATCATACATAATATAAAATGTCTATACATATCATAATAATAGGCACCTGGAAAAGATAATGGTAATGATGTTAATCATAAAGATGAATTAAAAATGACACTAATTACTCTAAGTGCAGGGGCGATAGCAGGTGCAATGGCTAAAACTGCCATAGCACCCTTAGATAGAACAAAAATAAATTTTCAATCATCAATCAATTTTGGAACATTAAATGTATCCCCCTTTACTATTAGGGCAGGTCTTAAATTTATGCAAGATACAGTTAAGAAAGAAAAAGAAAAAATGTTATTAAAATCAAATGGCTCTAATATTCTTAAATCCAAATACCGTCATTTATATAAATCTTGGAGCAATATTAAGGCTTTAGGAGCTCTTTGGAGAGGTAATAGTGCCACTATGCTTAGGATTTGTCCATTTGCAGCTATTCAATTTGCCTCTCATAGAAAATGGAAATCTGTACTCGGTGTTGATCATATTTCTTATCAGCCTGAACTTTTAATAAATAATTATGACAATAAGAGAACTAAGAATTCAACATATATTCAGAAATTGCCTGAAAATTTTAGAAGATTTTTAGCTGGATCTTTAGCTGGAGTTTCAGCATCCTCAATGACTTATCCATTAGATTTAGCAAGAGCAAGAATGGCAGTAACTGATACAAAAAAGTAAATATCACAAATGGTTTAATGTATTTGTTTTATTGAATTTTGAAATAGATCTCTATTTGTATTCATATTAGATTTTTTTAAATAGGAACAATGAAGTATGTAACAAATGCAAGAACAAATCTTTATTAATAACCTAACCCAAACTTAACCAGAAACCTATAAATAGTATCACAGTTTTGAAGAATCTATCATTTAATTTTGATTGATTAGAAGTTGGCATAATATGTGTTCTGTTAAAAATAATAATCTATATTTTATACTACCCTCTATCCCCCGTTCATTATGCTGGGATCCAATTTCCTAAATTATGCCAACTTTTAATTTTAAATAGCTATGTTTTTTGCTTGTTTTGACTAATTTTATTTTACTTTTGGCTGAACATTGATGGAATGGTTTATAGTTATTTATATGATGAATAGTTTTGTATATGTTTCCATATATTCGTTTAAAATTAAACCTTTAGGATATTGTATCTTAATAAGAAAAGAGTAACTTTGTTATATGCCAATTTGCTGTTTTATCAACAAGGAAACCTAAACTTTATTATATCAATAATTGATTTGCTTTTCATATAAAAAGAGATATCTTATTATAACTCATCAGTTAATATACTTTCAATTTATTTTACTAGGGCTGTGCCGATATTAAATATCAGATTGGATCGGTACCGATATTTAACGTTTTCCGAAAATATCGGATCGGGCCGATACCTCTAAAAACCCGATCCGATCTTTTTATTTTTCTTTTTTTTTGTCATTTTATATGTTATGTATATTTATTTTACATTATTATAATATTTTCTAAATAATTTTTTAAAATTTTATTTTTTTAAAAAAATGGATTTATAGTATTTTAAAAGTTTTTTTTTTATAAAAATAGAAAGGAACACCCAAAGTTTTATTTATTTTAAATCTTTTTAAATAACGCCAATTTTTTTATTTCTTTAAATAAAAGAATTTTTTTAAATATGGTATCTGAATTATGGAAATATTTTACAAAAGAAAAAGATAATTTTGTAAAATTCATTATCTGCGGAATCATCTAAGTCTGCCATCAGTATGGCAGGAGATATAGGTAGTCCATATCTTAGAAGCTTATTCCCAGAAAATCTAAAGGCTCTCATATTTATTAAAAAAATCTAATATATTATAATTTTATATATTAAATATTACAATTTTATTATTCCAACATAAAATGGACATATTATTAAATATATATTTTTTTTATTAAGTCTTAATTGTTGAAATAAAAAAATTAAATTATTCATAATTCGATTTTTTGCATAAAAAATATTGATTTCTTAATTACATTTGGTTCAAACGGGGGTGATAATAAAACAGTAAAAATATCGGATCGGTATCGGATCGGGTTTGAAGAAATATAGGAAAATATCGGATCGGATCGGTGAAAAATATGTGGATCGGCACAGCCCTATATTTTACTTAAATTTACTTCTCTAATTTGATCTTAATTTCTTACATGGTGTAGGCTTGCTGGGATTTGAACAACTCATAAGTTATATTAATTTTACATCAACTTTTTATATATCCAAAAACATGGAAAGTTTATGGCAAAGATTGTCTGAAATTTATAGCATGTGTGAATACGTTTCATTCTATCTCATTTTTGAATTTAAAAATCACTCTAAATAATTGCTTTAAAATTGATAGATTCTGAATCTCAATAGATTCCATATCTCAATACGCCATATGCAATAATAAAATTAACATTAGTTGCTTTATATATATCTCTTAATTGTTGCGTTCTTTTTTCAAAACATTTCCCCTCAACCTGCTAATGCTACTAAATTGAAAAACAAACTTATATTGTATTTTATACAAATCAAGTTTGAAAACCTGATTCATAAATTTTTAGCTGAACTTGAACTGATATTTATTATGGTTTATATTCCCTAGGAATATAAATTATATATATAATTTTAAATATTGAGATTAGGCCTGTGCCAATATTCAATATCGATTGGGATTGGTGCTGATGATTGTTTTTATAAGATATCAATTGGGCTGATGTTTAAAAAACCTATCTGATCCAATATTTTTATTGTTTTTGTCAGAGATCTGCAGACCCGGACCTAAGCCTAACCGGACCGTATTTTTTTTAATATCCGGAGTGGGCTAGGCCTAGGCCTAAAAATTTTTTTTAAATATCCGGGCCAACAAGAAAAAATTTAAAATATCGAACAAATGATATTAGCTAGTGTTGTTAAAGGTTCGAGTTTGCCTATTTTTTAAAACGGCCAACTCACGATTTAGCCTAAAGTAAATTATACAAGATTTAAATTTTGCCCATAGATTGCAGAAATTTTTAATCTATTCGCGAAATTCGAGATTTAGGTAATAATTTGGCTAAAATCTTGATTTGCTCTTTAAAAAATTGGCGAAATCGAGATGTTTAACAAGACTACTTATCAGCCATAAACATTTTGCATATTTTATATGAGACGATTAACTTTTGGAGAATTTAAAAAAAATATGCACTTAATCATTTATGAAAATTGGTCAATTTTTTTTTGAAGATTTTTCATAACATTGGTTCAAAGATAGATGGTAAATAAAAATCAATCTAATCGATTATCGAATAATTTTATAGTAATATTGAAGGATCGGTAAATTTGTGGATAGGCACAGATCTATGAGATTTTTTTCGATGACAAATAATTTGAAAGAAACTGTTCTACGACATTATGATTACTTTTTTGGTTATAAAAATATGAATGTATTTTTAAATATTTATAATATATTGAAATTTAGTTTAATTACTTTTTAACATACTTCTTACAGCGTAATATATTTTTTGTTCTCTCTAAGTTTTAACTTATTTATTGAATTAAAAAATATTTTACATTCGATAAATAGGTACTCTAATCTGTATCAAGTTTTTGGTAAATTGATTAAAGAAGAAGGCTGGATCTCATTGTACAGAGGCTTTACTCCGACTGTACTGGGTTCTATCCCTTATGCTGGCACAAGTTTCTTCACCTACGAATCTCTGAAAAAGTTAGACATCGGTAGTTTATTTAAAAATATAATTATTTATTCTTTATGGCTCACAAAGTTTAAGGTTGTTATATTAATTTACTAGCCTATTGATCATAATTTATTTTTTATTTAGTTTGTGCTTCCTCTCCTTCCCGGACATATCATTTATCCTTAAAATTAAAATATTTATCTCCTATAAGATGCATTAAAAATAGTTCTATATAGTAACGCGTTACAAAAATAACGCAGTTAAAGAATTAGGTCCCTACGTTGCTAAACAAAAACGTAACATATTAAAATAACTTTTTTTTACGTTACTCGATACTTTATATTTATTTTTATTATTATATATTTATATTTAAAAAGAACCCGAGGTTTATGGAAAAATTTTACGTGGATATCTCATTTCATTCTTCACTCAGCTATTATTTTTATTGGTCTTATTTTAAGTTATATGAAGCTAGTGAGGATAATATTATGGGAGCTATCTTCATCATGAAGGTCATATGAACAGTATTAAGTTTCTTTATTGAAGAAAGGTGTTGATTAAAGTAACACTTCTATAATAGAAATTATTGCCAAAACTCATTCCCAATATAAGTAAAAACATTTATATTATGATAACGATAAGTTTGATAACTTGAGTGATAAAATATCAAAATTTCTTTTAGCCTTAACAATTTCCAAACATTAAAACTCTCTTTATAAAATATGATAAACCTTAGGCATCCTCAGCATATATTGAATACATGTTATATACAGCAAAAGCTGTGCCGAAATATGAACTATCTTAAACATTTTGAAAAAGTTATCAATATATTTATAGACAAAAAATTTTTGGAATTTCTATAATAAACATATATTGATTGATGAAATAAAAGGAAAACAATTTATTCAATTCTTTTTTCATAGTAAAGGTTTCGGTACTTCTAAGAAAAATCTACCCTAAAAAAATAACGCAAACTTAATCACTTTTTTTTAAGAGTAACACCACAGCTGTGATTATAAATAAAATAAATTGAATTTATTTTTATAAAAGAAAGAAAGGTAGTAATTTTATAATTAAATATCACTAAGATAGCGCTCGCGGGCTGCCCAATATCATACCCGCATTCTCTTTTATTATGTCCATAATCATGATATTTGGGTATATTAAAACCAATAATTTGTCACTTTCAAAAAAGGAAATGGTCATGAGATTCATTATGACCTGCCACAAGAAGATTTTTAAGAAAGTTATTCAGCCCAGTCCATTAAATAGCCAATAATAATTTTTATGAAAGAAATATATTGCTTAATTTTAAGTTTTTTTAAGAAATATCAATTCTGGCCCAGCCCATAAAAATATTTTGCAGCCCGGCCCGGTTCGTAAAAATATTTTACTAAAGTTATCCGGATCAAAAGCTTTCTGTCCCGGGCCGTTCTCTAACCTTGCATTCTTAGTTAATGCGAATTCGCGGCGAAGTATATAAAAATCATTTATACTTCGCCACGAATTCGTGCTAACTGTGTGTGCAGGGTATTCCTCATTAACAATTAGTGCGAATTCGCAGCAAATACAAAAATACAACACATTTTGCAAATTCACCCTAATTATGAATGAGGGGTAATGTAGCTCTTGAATATTATTTTGAAAAAGTGTTGCAAATCTTCTATAGCCTAATTAATTATTTGTTCAAGGAAAACAGCTTGCCAATTACACAGGATTATAAATATAAATTTTTGCGTCAAGCATTAAAGTGGAAAAAATAATTTTATATCTTGCTTTATGAGTCGGTAAAAATTTGATGAGTCCCAGATTTATATGATAAGCCAAGCGAATGTTAAGGAACTTTGAGCTAGATAAATATAGCATTGGAATTATTTAATTTCCGGGTAGTGCACTTTAACCAGTACCCGTTTGGGATCTCCGCTATTTCCAGGAAGACGCGAACATTTATAGTTGTACTAAATGTGAAAAGTGAATGATCACCAATATAATTGTAAATACATTTATATTTCACAGTTTTAACTAGATAAACCATTTTGAATATAAATACAATTTGAGTATTTAGAGGTATATGTATAACAATTTTGGCATTGTGCGAATAAAAAATTTCTTCTTTTAAATTTTGATGATAATACTAATATATTTATAACCTTTATATGGTTGAGCGTATCCATTGTAACATAGTCACAAACTAACAAAAATATTTGTTTAGAAATTATTTAAAATTTTTACATTAGTCTTGGACATTACAACTAGCAAACTATTTTAGCGCCTATAATAATTATGTATTATTTTAATACAAATTCTGATTTGTATGATTCGCTTATAATATTTTTAAAATGATTTTATTAGGTATGTACCTATATTTTATCGAATCGTGCCGATTTTTCTTCTTTTTTAAATATCTATCGACCGATATTTAAACCAATAAAAGTGAAGTTATAATTTAAATTTTTTTTAAATTTAAAAAATATATTTATATACATATTAAGAACATTATTCTATAGCTGAAGTGATAATTATTTTTTATTAGACTAATTGAAAATTAATAAAATACATAATTTATTTTTAAAAAGAATGTTTATGATTTTAAAAACTTAAAATTTAAAAATTCTAACGATTTTTGAATAGACTAGATTGGATTCTACTTTCAACACAATTGACAAACTTTTGGCACAAAAAAAATTTGAAATATTTTCCTATATAAAAAAATGATTTATCAATGTTTATATAATTTTACATTGATGAATATTTTTAATTAAATAAGCCTAAAATTATATGCTAATTAAAATTTTTATTGATCATAGACTAAATCGGATTCTACTTTCTTAATAGAAAACAAAACAATTTTATTACATAAATAAATGTTATCAATGTTTATATAATTTTACATTGGCGAATATAACTAAATAAATAAGCTTAAAATTATAAGTTAATTAAATTTTGATAATAGTATTTTAATATATGTACAACGAATAAATCAGATATCGGCAATATATCGGATCGGCCTCCAAAAAGTTGTATCGGTACACCCCTATTTATTATTATTATTAATATCGATTTACCTTGTTATGTTACTTTAATGTACATAAGAGCTCCACATCGCACCAATACGGTTCCTCAGCAGAATTTAGGCAGACCAGTTAGTTTTTATATTATTGGATCAGGCCGTATTAATATCTATTATTTTATTGCACATTGTACTTTTATTTTACATTTAAATACAATTACATCTATATAATTAAATGCAGCTTTTATTTAGCAATCATAGACGAAAGAATAAACTCTGGTTCCTTACGTTTTTAAAAAAACATTTCCATAAGTTTCCATGTGAAATAAAATTTTTAGAAATAACTCGATTGGACCTGGGCTGACTGGACCTAGTTTTAAGTTGTGATTTTCGTGGTATACTCTACCGTAAAAAATTTAAAAGAATTCATCGGAATCGAACTTTAAAAAAGTCAAACATTTTTCTGGGACCGTAGCGGACTTACGAAAATAGGACCGGTTCATGGTTCTGAGGTATAATGAATGTTTTACAGTTTATTTCAACCCTTCGACAGCCTATGGATTTCAAAAAATGATTCACCTCCATCTTACTTGCCCATTCATTTTTTAAAAAAAGGTCGTTACCGCCTTCCCACCTGTCGCCTAATAATTATTTGATTGGTCGGATACGATATTATGAAATAGACTAACTCGCTCTATTCTCAAGTCCCAAGTCCCATATATCCTATTAAACTGCCTTAATGCTCATCCAAAAATTAATATTACAATATTTTATATGGAGATTTCGATATGTAGACAAAGTTGTGAGCCATATTTTAAAATAATATTTCACATACCTTCCGATTTGAACGTTGAATTGATTAATTTTACCTAAACTAAATCTGGAATAAGCTAAGGGCCTTGTGCCGGCTGAATCGTTATAATAAAATTATTACAGTTTATTCTGGTGAGACTGTTTCTAATTAGAAGGTAGAGGCCCTCAATATTTTTCTGCTCGAAACAGACCTAAAATTTTTATTGATTTTTGAACCTTGTTAGGCCTGAAATTTAGGTTAAAGCCCGTCCTGACTTTTTAAATTTTATTTTAGGTCCAAATTCGGCTAGGGTAGAAATTTTTAATTAAAAAATAATAATTAAACGCATTATAAAGTTAAATTAAATAGATGATTTGTCCTTATCAGTATCACAGATAAATTTTATCAAATTTATTTCGATAAAACAAAAGAAAAAAAAAATATTTTTCAGACACAAGGTCAGCCAGAAATAGTTCAATATTTTAGATCCTATCCCGGCTTGGGGCCGACTTGCAAGACACTACCAAACACATTTACAGAATAATCTTCTTTTTTTTAAAAAAATTAAAAATATTATTTGTGCACTATACTGTTTTATTAAATTATTAATTTTACTAATTAAAACTGAAAAAGTCTAATATCCCCCCCCCCCTATTATTTTTAGAACGCTATCAAAAATCTCGACAAGGACGACTCAAGGGAAAAATCTATATTAATAAAAATACGAGTGATGGGAACAAAATTTCGGAAGATTACAGTATAAGTCCGATTCACCGAATGTTTTACGGGGCCTTGGCTGGACTCGCTGGACAAACATCTTCCTACCCCTTGGACGTTATCAGGAGACGCATGCAAACTACCCCTTTATATGTCAAGAGAACGGTCGGTAATTTAGTGGCCAATAATGATAAAAATTCACTAACCTTTTCTTCCGCTTCTAATTTTAGAAGTAGTATTGGTATAAATCAATTTTTTTTAGAAAAAGTACCTTTTTATACAAATATTGTGCCCTTTCAATAATAAAAAAATATAGTATTCTTAGATGAAAAATGTTGATAATATATAATTAAAAATATTTTTAAACTTTAAAAAAATATATTAGACGTGAAATGTCCTTATACAGGCATATTGTCTACGGCCATGTACATAATCAAAACCGAAGGTAGTAAAAATTTGGATTACAATTGAAATATAATAATACATGTACGGGTTTAGAATATCATATGCTTGACTGTCATTATTTATAATCAGATTATTAAATTAGCGGGTTCCACAAACACAATTTTATTAAAATCGAAATTCAAAGTCACAAATAGGCTTGTGTTTAGATCGTTTCGTGATTTTATCTCACACTGTAAATATTTTTACCCTGAATCTCAATATCGACCCCGGTATTCAACAGTTTAACAAATATTCCAATCTACCTCTTAACATTTCTCTGTGATGGCTAGCACCTTTGGCCATGATAATTAAATTTAAAATAAAACAAGCTGTTTCTGACCAAATTTTACACTCTTAACATTCCATACTAAAAAATCTATCGAATTTAATATTAAAGTTAACCTTGTAAGGTGTAAAAACGTTAGTAAATAATAAATTTGCTATTTTTTATAAATAAATTTATGATAAAATTTCCATCGTATACTGAAGTGTGGTTCTTGAGTATCTCTGAAATTTAATGTATCTAAAAAACTATAATAGATGTGCATTAAACTATACAGAAATATTCATAATATAATTTAATATAAAATAAGAGACTGCCATATCATAATATCTACTTGTTTTGTTTGTAATAACAATTTTAAAATATCTGAAGTGTTAATAATTGTTTGAAAAAAAATCTAAATTTTTTTTGAATGCTTTATTTTATCTTGAAAAATTTTTTATGTATGAAAATTACAAAAGAATTATTAAAGATTTCGGCATTTTTAGGTATTATTTGCTCAAAAATATCTGTTCAAAAGATCTTTACCAAACTGCCAAACATATTTATCATTTAAATCAAAATTTTAAATTTATGCATAAACACGTCCCAGGTTTTATCAAAGGAATGTACAAGGGCCTAAGCATGAATTGGATCAAAGGTCCTATAGCCGTGGGTATAAGCTTTTCCACGTTCGATACACTACACAAACACATCGAGAATGTTTTCCTTTCCTGATAAAAAATATATTAGAAACATCTGCCAGTACCTCACCCTTCATAAGAATCATGGAATATCTCCTCTAAATTTGTCAATTAAACTGTTATATTTTAATAGGGATTTTTTTTATTTTTGAATATGTCACCATTTATTTATATCAAAACGAGTCAATAAAATTTTGCATAGTTAATTTTTCTAAATTTAAAATTTTGGGTACCATATAAATCCTCTTTTTTAAAAATTATCTTTTGCCATTTATAAAATACTTTTTTAATAAATATATTATAAAAAAGGTTATAATAATATTTTTTTTAAATAAAAATCAGAGGTGCATTGGTACTATTATTTTTGCCGATATCGCTGATAACATTACATTTTTTTAAAGAAATATAATCCAGTTTATTTTAAAAAAATTAAATATATAAAATTTTTCACAGCCCTCATTTCCGCAAAGATATTTTTTAATTTTTTGGCCATAAAAATGCCTTTTCATTTGAAGCTTATAATAGTAATTTATTTTCCATCTTTAATTTTCATAATAAAGTTAATTCTGCAACAAAACTTTAAAATTTAAAAAAATAGGAAAATAATTAACGTCCTCATTATCGGGTTTATTGTGGTTATTATTTAGAAATTAAATATTAGGCATTCAATAAAACAGTAAGATGGAGCTTAATGTTTTGCTTTTTAAAAACTTTCTTTCTTATTTGTTTAAAAATTTATAAATCAATTTTGTTAAATTTTTTAAAAGTCTCTTAGGGATATAACATAGGGAAAATTTCTAGTGATGTTAAGGTTACTAGTTACGTAACTAGTACCTGTAACTAGTTACATTTTGGCTAAAAAATAACTGTAACTAGTTATATTTTTAAAATTGTAACTAGTAACTGTAACTAGTTATAATTTTTGAAATGTAACTGCCAAAAGTAACTAGTTACTTTTAAAGATATATTCAAATAATTAATTTTATTTTTAATATGTTGTGATAAATTAATTTTAAATTAAATTTATTTTTTAAATTAAATTTATTAATTTAAAATTTTGTGAAAATGTCTGATTGTTATAATTTACCGTTCAAATTGATTTTCTTTTCTTAAATTGTTACATTGCTGCTGGGCTTCATAATTTTGTAAGCAAATTCAAGTAATTTAATAAATTTTAATATTATATTTATTTACAAATGTAGCACAATATATTTTTTTCCGTCAAGTAACAAGCATTGGAACTTCATATCATACGTAATAAAAAAAATTTTAAATTTAGTATAAGGAAAAACAAAGACAGATTATTTTAGAATTTAATATTAAATTATTAATCATTACTTACAAGAACCAAGTCTAACAAAAATATCATGTTATAGGCTTATTAATCTTTATGATAATGACAACATCATTGCTGCAATTCTTCACCCTTTATTTAAAACTGACTGGCCTTGGATTAGGCAAGAAAGGAATAAAGCAAAAAAGGAAGAAATTTTAAATTTAATAAATACCTTAATATCTCAAAGTGAATCCCAGACGAATGAATCATGCTCAAAACCAACATCACTTGATGTAGTTGGATTTTTTGACCTAAAGCGCCAAAATATTCTGGATAATGAACTTATAGAAAACTTTATCAAATCTAATAACAACACTTTTTCTTTATATAACGATTTTCCAAAGTTAAAATTACTCTTTATTAAATATAATGTTGTTCTAACATCAAGTGCTCCCGTAGAGTGCTTGTTCAGTCTAGGTAAGCTCATTTTTGGAGATAAACGAGCACGTCTCCTAGATAATAACTTTGAAATTAATTTGTTGTTAAAAGCAAATAAACATTTATTAGATTCTAATTTTTATGAAAAATAAATGTTTTTTTTTCAATGCAAATATATATTTTTATATTCGATGTAAATATTCAATTTTGCGATATTTTTTTATATATTGTATATTATTTTAAATAACTGATTATACTTTGTTTATCCTAATTTTTTTTATATTAAATAAATGCATTCAATAAATAAATAATGCGCATATGAATGATGTATAAAGTAAGTAACTAGTTACTTTTGAAAATACTGTAAGTAATAACTAGTTGAAAATGTAACTAGTTATGTTTTTGCCAATGTAACTAGTAACTGTAACTAGTTATGTTTTTGCCAATGTAACTAGTTATGTTTTTGCCAATGTAACTAGTAATGTTTCAAAAGTAACTTTTAACATCACTAGAAATTTCCCGGGAAACTTTGAAATTTTTCCTAATTTTTATTTTATGTTTTTTTGAGATTTATATCATATTTTAGCAAAATATTTTTTCCTCTTGGTTCATATATTACAATTGTGTTTTGCTGCTATCTATGTACAATATCTTTAAGCTTCGTAAAATTTTTATGGATAGTTAGCCTTTTTTAAAAAAATTGGCTCAAATCGAGCCATTTAACATTAGTGGAATGTAGTATAAATTTTACTACAGCAATCCCAAGTTCCATTTTCTATAAATTAATTGAAACAGGAACCAATATGCATACGAAAGAATATATTTAGTGAATTTATTTAAGCAATTGAAGAAATATGAAACACAAAAATATAGCATCATAATAAAAGATAATGCAAGTAATTAAAAAGCCTAAACACTTTTGAGAAATAAATATCCAATTATCGAATGCATTAGGTCTGCATCTCATGGACTTCATTTGCTATTAAGGATTGTAGCAAATAAAATATTGCCAATTTAAATTTATGTAAATTCAACATTCTTTTACAAATTTAAGGAAAAACAGCTACTTAAAGATAAGAATAGGATTGTTTCCTTAAAGTTGTCTGGTTCACCCAAAATTGTTGGACAATATAGTTATGATAATTACTAGTTGTTGAAAATAAAAATATTTTGCTGTAATACTTCATATTTTTATAGAGATAAAAGACTTAATCTTAATGATAATGAAGTTTTTTAATGATATTGTACATCTATACAATTTTATAAAGTAATTTCTAAACAATTTATTGGAGGCGACACATCAAATTTAACTGTTACTTAAACATTTACTTTAATCAGGGAGATCTCTTATGGGAATTAATAAAGATCAAACAATTTATAAAAAAACCAGAAAAAAATTTTGTTGACGGGACATACATTACTCTAACATATATTTGACCTAAGATATTGCAGACTTGATTTTAAAAAGGATTAAATACATCGATTTTATGGATACCTAGATTTAGATGTTACGAGACAAATGACAAATCGTTCGATTTTAGATATCTGGAATCGTTTTCATCTTCAAACGAAGATAAAAAATTAAATAATTGAAATTACATGAAAAAAAAATCAATATTGAACTGTAAAATAATTTTTTAATTTTTCCCCAAATTTCCCCCAACTAGGTTTCCCGGGAAATTTATATCCTTAGTCTCTTTTGATGTTTATATTTATAAATAATATAGTAAGAATTATTTATTAAAGTAGTCAAAATATCTACTTTCTGGTGTTTTAGATAATTTAAAAAAGAATTCTAAACAATTTGAAAAATTTTAAGATAGTTCCTCTAGAGAAATAAGCAATAGAATTCGAATTTATTTTTCAACTCGAAACAATCAACATATATATATATATATGACATTTCTCTATGTATCTCTTTTGATTGGTTTTTAAATCTCTTTATTTCTACTCTTATTGTGTGTAGTGTTGTTAAGCGGCTCGTTTTGAGCCGATTTTTAAAAACGGCTAATTCAATATTACATTCAGAAATATATTACGCAAGCCTGAAGATTTTGCTCATAGAAGGAACAAAAGTCTAGCGATATATTATCAAAATCTCGAGGCTTAGACAATATTTTTCTGCCTAAAATATTGAGTTAGCCGTTTTGAAAAATCGGCTCAAAACGAGCCGTTTAACAACACTAATTGTGTGGTTATTTTATTGCAGTTTGGTGGGAAATGATGATCCAGAGGGTTATCTTTCATTGACTTTATGGCTTATTGTGCAGAAGGAATAGATTAATTTTTTTATTAAAGTATTTTGTATCTAAAATACTCTTATATTTTTAAAAATACATTCTTTTATTAAAAATCTGTGTCTAGATTCCTTTTTAATGGCTTGCCCCATATGAAAGGTCCAAAATGGATAGAAAACCATTTATTCTGTGAAAGATTTAAAAGATAGATTTAGGCAAAAAAATGAGAGAATATATTTAATAGATGTTTTTTCAATTTAAATATAATATTTTAATTTATTATATATTTCGATATTAAAAATTCTGGGGAGCCTCATGAAGGCTTTTATATAAGGTAGAGAATCGCAATAGCCATTCTTAAGGCTAATTATGTTTGTTATATTGATTCGATATCTCTTAATGATTAGGGGAATTTTTGAATAAATGCACCTTTATGCAGCTATATTTTTTAGCAATATTATATTCGCTCTTATTTATTTTCCATTATTTTATTATTTGCGATCGAAATTGTCATTTTGTTAATATGACTAGTTAAAAATACTATTAATTTATTTTATAATATATTTTTCGATTTTATATTGCACAAATTATGTTATATACTGATTTACATAGTCTCAATATTAAAGGCAACCATTCAAATAATAAAAATTATCATTCATTATGAAAAAGGCATAAAAGTATGATATAATAGTGCGGACAAATTGAACATTTCAAACACGCAAATAATGCATTTCAAGGCATCATGGAGTTTGGTAAAATTGCCCTTTGGCGTTATCAATCATTTTAAAAAACGAAAACATGTTTGCTTTTTAAAGTACCTTTTTATTCTTCATTTTATAATCTTATATAAAATGTAAAAAATTATCATATTTTAAAATGGAATATTTAGAAATTTTAAACAAGAGATGCGTTATATTTTTTTATTAAAAATGTACAGCAAAATGCAAATTCTGTGGTATAATAAACATTCAAAATTATATTAAAATTCAAATAGTTTATCAATCTATTTTATTTTATTCTATTTATAAAATATAATATAAAAATTTGAGTAAATTAAAGAATTTAAACCAATTTAAAATATGATCAAAAAAATAGTAAAGTATAGCAGAATTTGACGGCTCACTATTGTTGAATAAGCCAATCATAATTTGACAACTTCTAGCCATTATTTTCTGCCTCCTATTTTTTTAATACATCTTTTTTGAATTGTAAAATTCAATTAAGGAGAAAAGAAGAATAAAAAATAAATTAATATATTCAGCTTTTGGGCTACACCAATATTTTATGGCCATGAGTGATAATAGGAATTAAAGACCTGGCTATACCTACAAAAATACGAATCGAATAATTCCATTATTCGTATTCGTTTAAATCGAATAATTTATTTTTCGTATTCGTATGAATAATAAAATGATTATTCGATTCGAAAATTTTATTTATCATGAATTAAAAAAGATCTATTATAAAATTTATTTTGTAAAATTTAACTAGGGAAGACAAACAATTTTATTAGTGAGACAAAATAGAAGCATACATATATAATATATTTATATACAATGTGGAAAAATCAATATAATATTCATATCTATAATGTAGAAGAATCTGACAACAGCCAATTTTTCATTTACTTATAAAATATTTTTTACAAAAATGATTTGGATTTATAGGTTTTAATTCCAAACACTGTTCATAAAATTTAATTATATTGGGAAAAGAATCAAGAATATAATTTTATAAAGATAATATAAATTTTTGTGAATTTTGATTCACAGTAGAATAATGAAAGTTTTAGATTATTTGATTTGGGAAATAAGAAATTCCTACTGAGATTCAATGATGATCTTTAATCCCAAACACTACTTTGTTGTTATTAACATAAACTAAAATAATATATAAGTCAAAGTAATATTCTTTTTAATGTGGGGAAATAATAAATTGTCAAAAAGCTATGTAACTTAAATAAGTACGAAAAACTCACATTAGCAATATTTTACAAATAAAGTGGTAAAAACTTTAGGCAAAAAGTCAAATTTATGATTTCTCCATCATCAAATGAAAGAGAAATATCAGGTTTGCCCGTCATTCTTGATGTGATGGGATTAACAGTTTATTATAATTGTATATGTTATGTGTTATATAAATTACCTTCTTCGTCCATCTCAATCATGAAAGAAATTTCTAAAGTAATGGTCTATTATGAGATAAATTAAAATGGAGTTTCAAAATTTGGCACAATTTTCATTATTCCACTAGGAGATTTTATTAAATTGAAATAATTCCTAATAATAATATATGATTTATATATGATTATTTTCCAATATATATTAATACTATAAATTATTTTAGTCGAATAATTCGATCGAATAATAGATAAAAAATTATTTGACGAATAATATATTTTCCTTATTCGAAATCGAATAACAAATAATTCGTTTTAGGTATAGACCTGGCACCTCCTAAACTAGTTTTTTTACTATATTGTTAAAAAAATTGGACTTGAGCAAAAAAAGGATTATATTGACTTTATTTAAATATCATGCATACTAAGTAATTTTATAATTAATAATTTAAGTAATTAGCATTAGAAAGATAATATCAGAAGTTAGAAATGTTGTATAAAATATAAATAGTATAATATAATGCATAAATGTTTATTATAAAAAAATGGATTCCAACAATAGATCCTAACTATCATTGCATACATAATAAAATGAAACATCAAGTACAAATAAAATCAAACTTTACAACTTTCCTTAGTGAGAGAATTTGAAAATTTCTTTTCTTTTTCGTTTTCTTTTGCTATAACATCAGGCGGGTGTTCTAGGACCACATCAATAAGTCCAAAATCTTTGGCTTCAATGGGTGTCATAAATTTGTCTCTGTCAACAAATTTTTCAATAGTTTCAAAGGTTTGATAGGTATGCTTTACGTAAATTCTGTTGAGTTGCCGCTTGAGCTTGATAATTTCCTCTGCTTGGATTTGGATATCAGAAGCTTGACCCTAAATAAAGTGATAATTAATTTTTTTTAAAATTATTGCAACATAAAATTAAACATTTAAAAGTTAATTTAAAAAAATTAGAACTTTTTTAAAAATAAAAAATAATTTTAAGTATGCATTTAATAAAAAAAACTTGAGCAGAACCATGTGGCTGATGTATCATGATTCTTGAATTAGGTAGTGAATATCTGTATCCAGCAGAACCAGCACACAAAAGCAAAGAGGCCATACTACAAGCTTGTCCAACACACCAAGTGTAGATTGGGGATGTTATATAAAGCATTGTATCATATATACCTAAACCAGATGTAACTGATCCACCTAATGTATAAAACAAATATTATATAATTTGTAAAATGTAAAAATTATTGAATGGTAAATTTACCATAGTAAAATTCATAGCTATCATATCCATATTTTAAAAATTAACAAGTTAACAATTTTGTTCATTTTACCTGGACTATTGATGTACATATGAATAGGTTTTTTATTACTTTCCGATTGTAGAAATAATAATTGGGCGACTACTAAGCTAGACATATCATCATTAATCTAAATTACATTACTAAAACATTAAAAAAAATATAGTATACAGGGCCCATAACACACACAATTCTTTCTTTTAATAATCTTGAAAATATATCATAGGAACGTTCTCCTCGTCCAGTTTGTTCAACAACAATAGGAATTAAAGGGAAATTTAATTTATAGCAAGTTCTAAATCTTCTAATAGAGTTAGAACATTTTATCAACATTGGAGGATAGAACCCTCGAATCTACGATTTTGCTTTAAAAGAGAAGATTGGCAGCATAACATATTTAACATTACAGATCTTAGAAAATTAATTAGTTTCAAAACGAACTTTTCGCTCCTAAAGTTAATCTTCAGAAAAGGAAATATATTATCCTTTTTATTTCACCTAAGGTTAGCTATAGATAATAAATTAAGATTAGAATATTCAAGATAAGAGAATAAAAATTTTTTTTATAATTGATCGATTCCATTTTCATATAAACCCATTATATTATCATAATTACGGTATTGAATTTTTAATTTTTTAAAACATGATTGACCGGTGCTTCCTTTAATTTCTGGATAACTCTGAATATAATTGATGCATTTCTTTGAAAGCTGTCAAGCGATTATGCAGCTACCACTCAAGCCATTTATATATTAAATGAGTTATCAAATTTACAGAAATACTACATTAGGGCATGCTTTACAAGAATCATTAGATGAAATGCTTGAAGTACTAATATCCTTATTATATATTGTATATGTTGTTACTTAAGGGTGGACAGATAACACCACAGATTAAATTCAAAGTTTTAGCTCAATTTGATAAAGCAATAAATAATGCTTTGGCCAATAGAGTTAGGACAAGAATTAATTTTAGAGTAATATTTATTATAATTTATTTAATTTACTCAACCTATAATAGGCAGGGCATCTAAATACTTATCGATTTTGTGATAATGTCTGGACATTTTTATTAAATGATGTTGATTTTAGGGAAATGTCAGAATTATTAAAAATTTCAAAAGTTAAGATAGTTGCATGTGATGGCAAAGGTAAATTACTTCTTTTATAACAATAAATTCCTTTTTTAAATTTAAGCAAAAACAAATTTGGGAAATCAATATTTACAGGATTTGCAAAAAAATATAACAAAAGTAGAGAATCCAAATAATGAAAGCAAAAATATTCTTAATTCTGAAAATATATAGTACATGTAATAATTTATTAATGAAATATTGTGATAACTATATATATTATTTAATAATATACATTGATATTATTATAATTTATATTTACTAATAAATACGATAATACAACTTTTAATTAAAAACTGACAATAAACTTTTTAAAAAAAAAATTATATAGTCTGCAATATGAGTGGAAATGTTTAGCTTAGTGTTATGCTAAAACTGTTATAATTGAAATGGTGTTTTTTTTAACACAAATGAGGCAATCAGAGTAGTTAAATATATTATTTTTTATAAAATATATGTAACTAGATACATTTTAAGCTATATTGGTATCTATTTATAGATATATTTTGATAATTTGTGATTTTTTTATATAAGAAAAATGTTCAAAATTAATCTTATTTTTTTATAATATTAAATATATTTAATATTAAAAAAATCTGTTCAAGTTTATTTCTTTCTAGTATTTTATTTTGCATAATGGATGACTGTAGTTAATTGGTGTTAATAGTAATCTCTATATATTGTATTTTTTTAGATGATTAATGCTCATATGATACTGATGAAGATGAAACAATCAATAACAATCATCAGTAAATTATCTAAACTTAATGGGAAATTTAAAAAGAATGGTAATGGATGAACTTTTAAAATTAATGTTTCTTAGGATATGTCCAAAATAAATTAATTTAATTTGCAAACTCGAGATTTTATTGAAAAAGAAGAATAAGCTATTTTTATTATATATCCAAAATATAATTCTAAAAAAAATTTAAAAAAAGATTGGACATCTTCAGAGAAAATAAAAACCCGTTTGTAATAAATTTGTATTTATTATTTAAATGTAATAAATTTGTATTTATTTAAAAGTATGAAACATTCTAGTGTCGACTCAGTCGAAAACTGAGTCTAAGTTTTGGGTCAAAAAAATCGACCCAAACTGACTTGAGTTATGAACTCAAATCGACTCAAGTCGTGATTTCAAATTAGTTTTTATTATTAATTAACAATACAATTATTTTTTTTAATTTAGACTTCCAACTTGAGTAAGTCGTGAATAGAAATTACAAGCATTAATTATTATTTATTTATTTTTAGTAAAATAATTTATTTTATTTTATTATTTAAATATTTATTATATTATAAAGAAATGATATAATTTAATATTTTTTATTTTATAATATATTATGAAAATGAATATTTATTTGATATCTTTTAATAAAAAAAATGATAAGCTGCAATGTAAGTTAAGTAATATCATTTTTGTTACAATTAATTAGTGGTTTGATTTGAATTTTAAATGATTTTTTCTTTTTTGTTAATAAACTTTTTCATTAACTCTTTTGTAAATTTTATTTAAATAAACAATGTTTTAGTCGAAATCTTTTATTTATATAGGTTTATTTTTATCATTTTTGTAAAATTATCTATTTTTTTAGTATATAAGAACTAGTTTAAATAATTTATTTTTAAATATTTATATTAAACTTTTATAAGTTATTTTACATGACCGTCTTTGTAATAATTGTCATGTTATTTAAATTCAATCGTATCGTGCTGCATGATATACTTTTTTTTGTGTTTTGATGTTTTGTTGCTTGACTTTTTGCTTAAGCTTAAAATTTATATGCTCAATTTAACAAGCTGATTGCTCAATATATACTTTGGTATCTTTCTAAAAATGACAATTATCATAATCTGTATTTTTAAACATATTAGTTTATTTTTGACGCTAATGGGTAAAAACATAAATTGTAAATATGTTAAATTAAAATTTCAGTGAAGATGTTCCCAAGATAAGTGACAATTGTCATAATCGTTATTTCTAAAGCTTTTTGAAATTTTTTGACGCATAGAGGTAAAAATATAGATTGCAAATACGTTTAAGTAAAAGTTCAGTGAAGTTGTACCAAAGATATGTGACAATTGTCATAATCGTTATTTTTAAAGTCTTTTGAATTTTTTTGACGGAAATAGGTAAAAATATATAGTGTAAATATGTTAAATTAAAATTTTAGTGAAGATGTACCCAAGATAAGTGACAATTGTCATAATCGTTATTACTAAAGTTTTTTGAATTTTTTTGACGCAAATAGGTAAAAATATAGATTGTAAATATGTTAAATTAAAATTTTAGTGATAGATAAGTGACAATTGTCAAAATCGTTTTTTCTACAGTTTTTTGAAATTTTTTTGACGCACATAGGTAAAAATTTAGATTGTAAATACGTTTAATTTAAAATTCGATGAAGACCTATCATAGATAAGTTACAATTGTCATAATCGTTATATCTAAAGTTTTTTGAAATTTTTTGACGTAATAGATATGTGACAAATGTCATAATCGTTATTTTTTAACTTTTTTAATTTTGGTAAAAATATATATTGTAAAGATGTTAAAATAAATTCAGTGAAGATGTACCATAGAAGAGTGACAATAAGTGATCTGCATCAGGCCTAATTTTTCAAGCCCGGCCCGAACCCAAAATTATTTTTTTGAAAGTATTTTAATTAATAAAAATATATACATGATTAAATAAAGGAATGTAAAATATATGATAAAATACCCTAAAATTTTGTTATATGAAAATATAAAACAATTTTAACAAATCTAAAAATATAAGCAATTAAGTGTTCAAAAAATGGAAGGTTTGGGGGGCGAAGCCCCAAAAAATTTTCTTACCCCCCCCCCCCCCCCCCACCCTATGATAAAATCCTGGCTACGCCACTGTGTGTGAGAACTTTTAGTGGAGATTTAACTAAAAGATATTCTTGTTTATTTGCACAAAGGTTCAAAATGAGATTTATCAACGTAAAAATTATATATTATCTTAATTCTTTTATTTAAAAATCATGTAATACATATAAAAAAACATTTAAAAAATAAATAAATATTGTTATTTTAAATTTTTTTTAAATTGTATTTTAAAAAAAATAGGAATGCTTTTGAACACAAAAAATTTGGATTTATTTTGCATGATAATAACAAATTGTTAAATTGTAGAAATAATTTAAATAAAATCACTCGAGGTGATAATGAAATATTTTATGTAAAAGTTAAAATCGATTTAAATGTAAAAGTAAAAATCAATTTAAAGGTAAAAAGTTAAAAATGATTTGAAATGGATGTATAACGATAAAATTTAAATAGATTATATTTGAAAGACATAACTGTAGGATATTGATATATTATAATTTTTTTGTATATATTGTTATGTTTTTTTGTTATATCACAGTTTGAAATTTTATATGTTATAATAAAAAAAGATAAATTAAAAATATGTGTTTTTTATAATGTTTCAGCTTTAAATCGTATTAATTAATGTTTAAAAATGTGTCAACTTTAAATTATAAAATCTCATCCTTATCACGTATCAGAGAAATTGTAAAAATCTTATATGGTGGCAACGTATTCCGACGTTTACAATTCTTATAATAGTCTCAGTTTATAGTTACAATATGACAGCGATTCGATACATCATGATTATAAGATGTCCATCACGCTTTAATATCAGGCAACATCGCAATACTTCGACGCACAAATCCATTCCGTTTATACACGAGACATTCGCTCAATGCTATCAACGAGACTGAATCATTTGACCAACGCTACAAGATAAATTTATTAGCTTGTATTATTCAATTTTATATACGTATATAAATATTTTTTTTTTCCGTGTGATATATGATATAAATAAGATGTATAAACGATCATTATAAATAATACACATTATGAAACCGTTAGTAAATACAAAAAATAATATAGTTGACGTACCGGCGTTTACAGGGAACGTTGAGTTTTTTTTAAAAAGATTCGATTCCGTATTAAAAGATAGCCAATGGACGGAAGCGGAAAAAGCGAGTATTTTCACAAACAGATTACCAGAAAACGAGTACTTAAATCTAGAGGCAATCTGTACATCGTCCGAGTTCTCTAATCTTACAAATTTAATCGAGAAGTTTAAACTTCTACACTCTGAAAAATCTATGGACAGTTACAAGGTTGATTTTGTGGCGGCGGTGCAAAATCCAGGTGAAAAATTTCAGGCCTGGGTAACTCGAGTATGTGGTTTAAATACTAAATGTAAGTATAAAGACTTTGAGAGAGCAATAGAAAAAATAAGGCTTTCATCGATAAGTAAGAAAATCAGGCAGAGAATTTCTAAAATGGAAAATGTAAATATAGATATGATACTAAAGGCAGCAGCAGATATAGAAGAGTAAGAAGCGTGTGACAATATTTTAAATAAAATTGATAATATAAAAATTGAAGCAGGAACCACGGTGAAAGCGATAGATGAGGTCGAAGTCAAGAGGATAAGTTCGGATAATCAACTGGTGAAATACGATGGTAACAATAGATTGGCATGTACTTCAAATGATAATGGGTTTAGACGGCAGTGGACACCTAGATGCGATAATTGGCAGAGGTTTCAAGGAAACAATAATGATTCACGTTATCGTAACAATTTCAATCCGCGGTATCAAAATAACTTTAATCATAGATATCAATATAATGACAGAGCGCCAAGATCGAGATTCAATAATGATAATTATAACGATAGGCGTAATTATGACAGATACAATGATAGAAATAATAATGATTCAAGATACAGACCAAGATATAATCAGAATTACGATCAAAGTTATAATCGTAACTACAATCAGAATTGCAACCAAAACTACAATCAATCGTATAATAATAACAGATACCGAAATAATGACAATAATCAACGGCGATACTCAAATAAAGTAAATACGGTCAATATAGAAGAAATATAGGAAATAAAGGATGTAAATTGTGATAAAATTGAAAAAGAAGAATATAGTCTTTTTAATGTGGATATAAATAATCTTGATGATGATAATAACAAAGCGTATGACGCATATAAAATCACGATGCACCTTAATGATGTGCCAATTGAATTACAGATAGACACGGGGTCAAGGTTCACAATACTACCAATAAGTGTTGCAAGAAAAATTGGTATTAAAACATTAAAGAAATCGGAAACAAAACTTACGGGCTACGATGGGAGAATTATAAATGTGTTGGGCACCGTTGACATCAAGGCAAAATATGGAAACAAGACAGAGACCTTGAACATACACGTAGTGCAGAGCAACAAAATACCGCT